TCTTTCGTTTCACATCATTATTTTGACATTTCATATAACTTCTGGATAAGTTAATTAAATTCGACATTGTAATAAGGTGGCAACCCTCTTCAAAATATTTTCGAACGGCCACCTTCTGAACCCCCTTTCGTTATGCGCCCATATGTTGAAACATATTTCTCCTAATTCATTTTCTTAATTCAAGTTGAATTTAATTATTTTTAAGTTAAGAAGAATAAGAATTTTAAGCTAAGAAACAAATATTTTCAAAACCCTTTCCACTGATACCCATTTTGTAATAATTGATATTATAAGATCTACAGGTGGCAACTCCTTTCGAAAAAATAAAACCCGTTTGTACATCTACAGGCCAAGCGCTTTAATTTGACACCCCATTTTTGAAAATCGAACGAACGGTGCAGATCTTTAATGCGGAACAAAAAATGCCTTCGCGTATTATTTTGAACTTAATTTTTTAAAAGGTGGCAACTCTTTTCAAAAAAGTTAAGCCTTATTGCACACCTAAAGTCAGAGCCCTTTAACGCCTCACTTTTTAAAATCGAACGGTGTGGATCTGATGGCATTGATTATTAAATTATTTGAATGCAATTTTTTATCAGGTGGCAACTCTTTTCGAAAAAGCAAAACCTTATTGCACATCTACAGACCAAGCGCTTTAATTTGCCATCTCATTTTTGAAAATCGGGCGAACGGTACAGATCTTTTATGCTGCACAAAAAATCCCTTCGCGTATTATATATATAGATTTGGGTTTAAAATTTACTATTGCTCGGCGTTATATGTATAATGAGCTAGACATTTATAAAAAGATATTAATTATTAAATAAAAAAAGAAATATAGCCAATACTGGTCAAGAAAAGGGGTTTCTATTATTACCATCAGTGCAAATTACAAATGCCGAAAATCCCGGGACTACTTGCCAAGAATCCCGGGATTTTCGAGACCTTAAAAAGTCCGGGATCCCGGGATTAACATTCCTAGTACGTATGTATATTACTTCTTGGTAGAGATGCTGGGAGGCCACAAATAAAATATGCAATTGTTTGGTATTATATTTGGGTGTTTTTGATATGTCTTATTTATAGGTTTTAGAAGCTGTAACAGAATCTGATTACAAAAAAAAATATGCAGTATTTACTGCTCCTTCTTTTTCTACTTTGTTTCGCCAATAAGTATGAATATTTTTCGCGCTAAATTTTCATTTGGTTGGTATACTTCTGACTTTTGTTTTCTGTTGCTTATTTTGTATGCAATCTTGCTTTTACTTGATATGAGTACAAGCAAAAGGGGTATTACCGTGCAATTACTGCAAGTAGATACTTGAATTTTTTATGTTTTGGGCTTTAGTCTGTTACACGAAAAATAAGCTGAAGCAGAAATTTAAGGTTATTTTTTCATGCGTATATATGTATGTACATTAGGGTGGTCCAAAAATGTATACAAGGAAAGAAAGAAAAAGTAAGTCGGAATTTGTATGCTCTCACCCCCTAGGATTGTTCTATACCAAAAAAAGTATACCCCTGTTTTTTTTTAATTTTGAAATCAAAAAATATTTAGAGGTCGCTCAAAGCGCTCACAGTTTTCCATGTATTTTTATATGGGGAAAAAACAACTTTTCGTAGAAATGGTATAGAATTCTTAAAAATCAATATTTTTTGGATCGAAAAAATTCTGTTTCTCTGCTGGAGATTCCCAATAATAATACCCAATTGTCTAGTTAACCATTTTTTAACGCAACTATAATTTATAGGTCCGCCAAAAACCCCGAAAAATGCAATGGGGGTGCCAATAAAAAATCGTTTGTATTAAAAAATAGTGAAATAAATCACTTGTATCACTAACTTTTTTCCACGTTACACAAAAAAATACACGGGGAACTTCGTTTTAAAATATAATAGGAGGTTTATTCAAAGAATCGGGGGGCTGCTTGGACACGTCCGCACGGATGAAAATCTTAACGATCTGTCAGCATACAAGTGCGTGTGTGTATGTGTATTACATGTGTAGTGTGTGTACAAAGTAAATGGATAAGTGAAATGTCAAAGTGTTTTGTTTAATATGGGTAGATATGTGTGGGCGGTGGTTTCGCGAGCTGAAGTGCCAGCCTTGCCATCGCGAAAGGACCCATTTAGCCACTGATATATAGTGATATATATTATGAAAGCCGTCTTTTTTCTGTTCCAAAAACTCGAGAACAGCTGTACACCACATACGCATTCTAATGTGAGAAATTCAGTTTGTATGGGAGACGCCACGCCCCCTTTTATATAACTCACGGAAAAGAGTTTGGCGTTGATATTATATATCTCTATACTAGGCTGCAGCACTCTACGATGAATGCTTCCAGAGACATGTTGTGTGAAAACTTCAGTTTGTATGTGAGCTGCCACGCCCCTTGATATATCGAAATTATTTTTCTTCTATTATCATCCCTGGAGAGTCTAGATTTGATGTCCAAAATTTCAAAAATATCGGTACAGCCGTTCTCGAGTTTTTCGAACAGAAAAAACGGCTTTCAAAATATATATTAGTAAAGATAACAAATTAAATACATTTTTTAATTAAATGTGTCCTATGGAAAAATGTTTACGAATCATTTTTTAAATAATTGCAGACATTTGAAATTAATTTGAAGTATTTTCTAAGAAAGTGGAAGCATTCAAACGTACAAATGATTTTTCTTTCATTTTTCAACATAAGCAAAAACTGGAGCTTCGTTAAAAATTCGCCACGGATAGATCGACGCGAAATTTAATTATCTTTTAATAAAAACAAGAAACTTGAAATCGGTTCATATTTGGCCTCTCAAAATTGATTTATCCACATCAACCCTGTTTGCCCCACTGTGCGCCGCCGAAGAAATAGTCGGATTTCAGCGAGCCCCAAAGAACAACTGGTACTATGACGAGTGTCAAAGAGCTGCAGTGAAAAAAGATGCCGCCTTCAGGGCCACGCTGTGATCGGGCGCAACGCAAGCCATGTGAAACCGTTACAGCGGTTACGTGTACATAGCTGGGTGCCCATCGAAAATGCTTCTTTTGGAAATTTCAAGACCCTACCCCCCCCCCCCCTTCTAATTTTAATCGTTTTTATGAGAAATATTATTGCCTATTTTTATAGATTTTTTAAACGTCTTTTAGATGTCGCGACCGGCCGATTTATGTGAGAAAATAGGATTTTGTAGATTTATGAGCTTTTGAAAGACTATTTTTGATTCGATTTCAAAGACCAAATATGATCTGAGAAGAGGATGTATAGGCATTTAAAATGGTATGTAATAATCTATTGTCGGACTAGTTGATATTTTTTATCGGGTAAATTAAAAAAGACACATATTTCTCTCAATTTTTTAAATTTTGAACACTGATAATTTCTACAATTTCAAAATATGGAGTACTATCTAAAATTAAATCTATTTTCAAATAAACCGATACCTCATTTATTGAATTTATATGTGTAAATGTACTGGGATTTCAGATTTTTTGAGCAGTGTGGCTAAGGAGTTCATCAATATTTATTCAAAATTGATCTATACAACTAACTTCGACAATTTTTACGCGATTGCAATAAATGAGCTATCAGTTTATTTAGAAATAGATTTAATTTTGGACAGTACCAAATATTTTGAAATTGTGGAAGTTATCGATGGTCAAAAGTTAAAAAAATAAGAGAAATATGGGTTTTTTTTTCAATTACCCTATAAAAATCCCAACAAGCCAAGTCCAACAATAGAATATTATACACCATTTTAAAGGTATCTCAGATCATATTCGATCTTTGAAATCGAATCAAAAATAGTCATTTAAAAACTCATAAATCTACAAAATCGTATTTTCTGACATAAATCGACAGGTCGCGACTTTTAAATGACCTTTAGAAAATGTATAAAAATAGGCAATAATATTTCTCATAAAAACGAATAACATTAGGGTGTAGGGTCTTGAAATTTCCAAAAAAATGCATTTTCGATGGGCACCCTAATACATAGTCGTGTACATTCTAGACTTTACAAAAATTTATTAAAGGAAAATTTTCTCACTGAAAATATATTTATCCTCACGAAAAAGATTAAACAAGAAGTTTTACGTCGCATTACCTGGGTGTTTTTCGTTTAACCGGCAATCATGTACCCGAGTATCATCAGCCCTAATATGTACATATGTATGTAACATAGGAAATAAGCTAATTTGGTCTTATTTGACCAAGACTCAGCTATTAGCTTGCTACGGTCAAAAAAAAACGCCTATTTACATAAAAAAAAATTTGCTTATAGAATAGAAAGTTGCCTATGAAGATTAAATGAGGGAGTCTTTGGTTAAAAGTCCAACTGAAAACTCTGGGGTGCACTATTTTTCATCCTGAGTTAAACTAGTTAGTCAATAAAGTTTAGGTACATCTAGTTTTTTGCAATACGGGCAACTATTTAGTAAATATTTGGTTTTTTACAACTTTTTTATTAAAAATATGGTTAATTCTACAATAAAAGCCCTAAAAATAAGTGTTCAAAACCTTTTCTTTAAAATATTGCACTTTTTAATTATACCATTTAGAAAAAAAGTAGTATGCAGGTTTCTAGCCCATTTAATTTTAGTAATAATCTTCGATATGTTTTTTATATGGAGAATATGAGCGACACCTTCAACAAACAAAGTTGTCAAAAATTAATGGTAAGTCCTAGCTTCCTCAGACTTGCACTTTACTGTACTAAAATTGAATGGGCTAAAAAACTGCATACTCAACTTTATTCTAAAGAGTGCAATATTTTCATGGAAATTTGCAGAATTTTCTTTAATTTTGCGCAAGGTTAGGAACTCTGATTTTTGGGATTTTTGTTGTAGAACTAACCATATTTTTATAAAAAGTTTGCCAAAAATAAAATAACTAGAAAACAGTTGACCGTATTGCATAAAACACTGTCTGTACCTAAATTTTGTTGACTGACTGTGTGTCTCGCGAAAAGTATATTTTTATAACTACATAGAGTTGTTTATTTACTTACCTCTATAAACTTATGTTCAAACAGCCACGAAGTATAAATTGTCCGTACAAAAAGAGGCGATGTGACACACGCATGTATTACGCAGTCCCAAATAAACATATAGCTGAAGGCCTTTTGATTGTCGACCACAACAAACTCGTCGATTTCGGATATTTTAAAACTATAAAAAGTTTATTAAGAATAATATTTAACAGGTATGTATATATAATTAATATAATATAATAATATAATTAAACTGCGATAATAATAAAGTCACTTATTTGAATTTTACCCCTTTTAAATTATGTCCGTACCTTTACGTCCAACCGTGGAGTATTTGCATAGTAAAACCGGCCAATACACGTGTAAACGATAAAAAAAAAAATTGTGTGCCAAGCTGTCGTTATTGGTTTGTTATTAGATTTGTATTGACAATATTAACAAGTAATTTTTAGCAAAAAAAACCGACTTCAGCTCTCATATAATATATATATATATATATCTCATGATCCACCGATCGGATCTTAACCAGATTAGTATGGGTTGACGTGGTCCAAAGTTATGCGGTAACATACATAAAAAAAAAAAATTATATATATATATTCCGACGAACTGATAACCTCCTCCTTTTTTGGAAGTCGGTTAAAAATATCGAGCCGTACCGCCAAAAGGGCGTAAGAGACAAAACGCTCGATTTTCTGCTTTTGACAGAAATCGATTACTTACCACCAACGCACCAGCTGTCAATTTTGGCTTAAGTGCTTAATTGTACTCTGTTTACATTTTTTTGTGCCCGCAGTGTCGGTTCAAGCCGTGAACAATTTTTCATTGCAGAGGGGAATTGTTACATTTTTTCGTGAAAGTTTTGAAGTGCCTCTATTATTCTTCCAAATATGGACTATTTACCAACAAAGGTAAATACATATATTTGTGGTAGATTAAGATTTTTAATCAAAAGGATGAAGATATAATACATGTATATAGGCCTGTATGCAGCTCTCAACAAAAGCAAAAACTCCATATAAAACGACGTATAAGAAAAGGCTAAGAAATTTTCTTGAGTCAAATTTCCTTAAGTAAGCACGCAGTTCTTAAGGAGTTTGCTACGCTTTCTACTACGGTTTTCTAAAGTTTGTTGTGAAAAAAGAGCACAAGGCAACCCAGGTTTGCAACAGAAATATATGCCCGTTCCATTATTTCTTGAGGAAAGAGTGAGGCAACAGGCTGTGAAGTATCAAAAATGTCGTTTTCTTGAGAGCTGCATACAGGCCATTGGGTGTTAAAATACTTGGTCATTGCAGAGCACTTGTGCGATACAGCGACACCGATTTTTCTGAAGAGTTAGTAGAAGAGAAAAATTCTGTGTTCGTTGCTTAAAATATTGCACTCGAATAAGGCAAAAAAGCCTCATCCTCTGCCCTTTGATGCTTGGTCAGGGGAGATGGTTACCCTGAAAAGCAGAAGGTTGCTTAAAATGGCAATATTTTGAAATGCGTGAGCCCGATAAGGATAAGTAGGCAAAACATGCACTTTTACAGGGTTGAGTGTAAAGCAGTGTTTGCATTGTTCAACTTTGCGGTCACCTCAACGCAGGGTTGCACGAAAGAAAACTTCAATGGCTAAATGTTAGCTGGCGACCAACTTTGTTGAAAGCCATGAGTTGAAAGGCGCTCAACCAAAAGTTTAATGCAAACGCGAATATTTCGATATTTTTTCATATTTTGATATTTTTAGCCATTCAACTTTTTTCCGTGCAACCCTGCGTAGAGTTGAACGCAAAGGTTGAACGCAAAGCTGAGCAATGCACTGCTTAACATCAAACACATTTTGCACCATGGAAGAACTAAATTTTTTTGGAATAAACGAAATCAGCATTAGTTTTTATAGAGAAATAGAATTTTACTCAATAACATATGTATTTGTGTTGAAGAGTTGTTTTCTTAATAACAAGAATAAAAGAAATGAGTTAAAGGCAAATGGTTTTTGTTAATGCCAAAAAAGGGTTTTTTAATATATCTTTTGGCTTAACCGCCGCAATTGCGTGCTGTAGCCTTTTTTGTGACGGCAAAAAGGGCGTAAGCGACAAAATCAACTGTTTCAT